CCCCCCCCCCCCGGCACGTGCGCACACTCATACACACACACTTGCTGTCACACATAACCCCACGTACAGCCTCACACACACACACACACACATATATACAGCAACCTGTGCGCGTACCCACCCCCCCCACCCCGGCACATATTCACCCCCACGCACAAGCCCCCTTCACACACGGCCCACACAGCACCTCGCACACACCCCCACTAGAAATTGCTGGAAAAGCTCAGCAGATCTGGCAGCATCTGTTGCAAGAAATCCGAGTTAACGTTTCGGCTTGAATGACCCTCCCTCAGAACCTGGCTGGCCATGTTTTTGTAAACAGCCCACATGCTGCTGTTTTGAAATGACGTTAACACACAAATAATGATAGAGTATAAATCAGACATTCTTTGTCACATTTTTTTAATATCGGCGTGATTTTGTTTTGGTTAAGCTCTTTTGAAGCACCTTGGGAAGTTTAATTCTGTGAAGGACCCGGTACTGAGGCAAGTTGTGAGTGAGTTGAATTGAGTGAGTGAGCCTGGGGTTTAATGAAGTGACTGTGTGCCTTTCTCTGCCCCTCTTAGTGATGATTGCGACTCAGCAAGAAATGAATGATGCCCAGTTGCCCCTCGGTCAGCGAGATTACTGTGCTCACTACCTCATCAAGTATCTGAAGTGCAAGCGAGACATGTGGCCCAATTTCCTGGAGTGTAAGCACGAGCGTCACGATTGGGATTACTGCGAGCACGAGGAGTAAGAGCTTGCTTTCTTTTCACTTGGTGTGCTAGGATGGTGGTGGTGGGTCTGACCGAGGGCCTGGTTTAAATTCCTGAATCTGCTCAGTGGTTGTGGTTGTGGGGTTGAGCTGGAAGTGGATCTCTGGTGACAAGTTGGTGGAGGCCTGCTTGACAGCCTTGCATCTAGACCCTGAGGGTGAAACTATTGGGAAGGGATGGTGCAGGTTTTACAATGAAAACAAGACCGCAGAAGTCGCTAAACATAAAGATCAAAGGAAGCTCAATCAGAAGCCCTGAGATGCTCCACGCTCTCTGTCAGCTCTTGACCACAATAGCACCAGGCAGCACAGAGCTCTACTGTTTCCTGTGCACCGCCCTGCCCGCATTGTTTTAAAGTGGTAACTTTCTTCAATATTGATGAGAAAAGGCATATTTTGTCAGAGCTTTTTGACTTGCACTCCTCAAGATATTTGTAAAAATACCATTTTAAAGGGGAACAACCTTAAGACCACTAAACATAGGAACACAAGTAGGCCATTCAGCCCATCGAGTCTACTTCCCCACTCAATTAGATCATGGCTAATCTGATAACTCTCATCTTCACTGTGCTGCCTTTGCACATAACCCTTGATTCCCTTCCTGATTAAAAATCTGTCTGTCTCAGCCTTGAGTTTACTTAATGACCCAGCCTCGAGTTTACTTAATGACCCAGCCTCAGCAGCCTTCTGTAGATTCACAACCCTCTGAGAGAAGAAATTCTTCCTCATCTCTGTTTTAAATGGGAGACCCTTTAGTCTGAGATGATGCTGTCTGGTCTGAGAATTCTCACAAGGGGAAACGACCTTTACACATTAACACTGACAAGTCTCCTAAGAATCTTGTCTACCTTAGTAAGGTCACCTCTTGTTCTTCTAAACTCCAAAGTGTACAGGCCTGACCTACCCATAAGAAAATCTGCCCATATCGAGGATCAGCCTAGTGACCCTTCTCTGGACTGCCTCCAATGCCAGTAAGCATTGCTTAGATAAGGGAACCAAAGCTGTCCACTGCAATCTAGAAATGGACCTTTGTGTTTTTGTACTCCATTCCCTTTGAAATAAAGGCTAAAATGCCACTTGTCTACACTGTTACCTGTTGAATTTAGATGCTAGCTTTCTTTCCTTGAAGCTTCCCAAATCCCTCTGTGCTGCAGCTTTCTGCAGTCTTTCTCCACTTAAATAATATTCAGCTCCTTTATTCTTCCTGCCAAAGTGTACAACCTCATGTTTTCCACTTTATATTCCATCTGCCAAGTTTTAGCCCACTGCTTTCATCTATATCCCTCTGTATACTCTTTATTTATCCTCACCACTTCCTTTCCAAACCTATTTTTGTGTTATTTTCAAACCTGGCTATGGTACATTTACTTTCCTCATCCATGTCATTAATAGATATTACAAATAATTGTGGCCCCAGCAGTGATCCCTGAAGCAGACCACTAGTAACAAGTTGCCAGCCTCAACATAGCCCCTTTATCCCAGGTTTCAGACTTTTATTAGTTAGCCAATCCTCTCTCCATACGAATAAACTACCTCAAACACAATGAGCTCTTACCTTGTTTAATAGCCAAACATGTAGCACCTTATCAACTGCCTTGTATCCACTGCTTCCCCTTTAAATATCCTGCTTGTCAGCTCCTCAAAGAATTCTAATAAACTTGTCAGGCATGATTTCCTCTTCCTGACTCTGCTTAATAATATTACTTGTTCCTAAACGCTCTGTTATTACATCCATTATAATAGACTAACAATTTCCCAATGACAGACATTAAGCTAATTGGTCTACAGTTACTTTTTTATTATCTACTTCCCTTATTTAATAAAGGTGCAATGTTGGCGGTTTTTCAATCCTCTGAATATTCTCCAGAACCTAAGGATTCCTGGAAGATTATTACCTATGCCCCCACTATCTCTGCAGTTACTTCCTCTAATATCCTGGGCCGCATCCCATCAGTCCAGGGGACCTATTGGTTTTTAGCCCCAGTAGTTTCCCTAGTGATGGTTATTGTATATATTTCCTCTCCCCACTTTGACCCTTGAATATTCAGTAATTTTCAGGATGCTGTTAGTGTCTTCTGTTGTGAAGACTGATGCAAAATATTACAGTCCTAGTTTCCCCCATTATTATTTCCCCAGCCTCATTCTGTAAGGGGCCTTTGGCTTCTCTCTTCCTGTTTTTATATTTAAAGAAGTTCTTGCTGCCCATCTTCATAGTATTTGTAAGTTTACCCGCAGAGTTTATTTTCTCCCTGTATTATCTTTTGGTCATTTTTGTTGGTTTTCATAACTTTGTCAATTTCTGACATACCATTAATCTTTGCCATGTTGTATGCTTTTTTCTTTCAATTTAATGCTACCCTTAACTTCCCAGTTAACCACGATTAGCTTATCCCCTTCCTAGAATTCTCTTTCCTCACTCGGATCTATCTTTGTCGTGAGCCTTGAATTGTTTTCTTAAAATCTACCATTGTTCCTCAACCATCTTTTTTCCAAAACTCCTTTCCCAGTCCACTCCAGCCAGCTCAGCCCTCAGTCCTTTGTAATTATTCATAATTAAGTTTAGCACTGATGTCTCTGACCCTCCTTCCTCTCTCTCAAATGGAATGTTAAATTCTACCATGCTATGGTCACTGTTTTCTCAGGATCTTTTACTCTGAGATCATTTCTCACGGCTGGGAGGTTGTGTCTGAAGGCTGAGATTCCCCACTTCCTCCTGCTTTCCCTCGTCACTACTTCATAAGGGTTCGAGGCACGAGGCAGCAGCAAGGCACAGCTCCATGAAGGGCTCCTCCTGGTGTAATGCAGCAGCAACGGGGAGCTGTGGTTGGCAGGGCAAGAGCAATGAAGGAGCAGTGGTCAAGAAATCACCATCAGGGAGGGCTAGCGCCTCTTTGTGAGCCCCTCATGTCTGCCCTTCACCTCCCTCCTCCATCCTAACTCCCTCCTTATCCTCAGCCAGTGGAAAGGGGAGCAATGTCAGCAGCACATGCTCGGTTTCTGAGGCCTTGATGTGGGTGATCTGTGCATGCACTGGTGTTGATGTCACTGCGCAGAGAACGCAATGACATCAGCTGCACGTGTGCAGACATTTCTGTGGCATGTTGTGGCCTGGGAGATGCACAGGGGCTATTTTACGATATGAATAATCGCCCCATTTCTCCAGCAATCCTCAAGTTCTGAGTAACTAAACAACTGCTTTCAATCTTCCTCATGTCAGCACACAGTGGTCTCAGAGTCCCTTGGGCTGATTGATGGGCGCTCAGATATGCATGTGCTGCAGCCTGTCCCATTGCAGTTTTGAACTGAACCTCTCCAGCCCCAAGGCAACATCCTGGTAAATCTCCTCTGCACCCTCTCCAGTGCTGTCTCATTCCTCCTAATAATGTGAATTCCAGAACTGCACACAATACTCTAGCTGTGAGCTAACCAACATATATACAGCATACTTGTATACTTATCTGAACGTTGAGGATGTATCATTGTTGTAATTTTCTGAACCACTTATCTGGGCTTAAGGAGCAGTCTGGATTCATGCCCCACCTGAACACAACCATCTAAAGCTCACATTCCCAGTACAGTGACGAGGGAGTGCTCAACTGTCCCATCTTATTCATGGGATGTTAAATTGAGGCTGTCTGCCCTGGTGGGTGGACATTAACCATCTCAAGTTTGTAAAAGAGGACGGGAGTCCTCCCTGTTCTACTGGATCGAGTTGTTTCCTGAAGCAGTAACAGATTAACTGCTGGTTTATTGGGTCTGAGAGTGTGTGCACTACGTTGTTATTTGTTTCAGGGTAAGTACCGGGTGCTATCTAAGCCATTGTGTTTTTTTTTGACAATGCCAGGAGGAATTCACACAGATCACTAATCTCAGCTTCTCTCACTGCAGTTACGTGATGCGTATGAAGGAGTACGAGAGGGAAAGGCGCTTACTGATGAGGAAGAAGAAAATGGACGAGAGGCAGGCAGCATAACCAACTTTCCTGGAGGTGCTGAGTAACTGAGTGTGTGTCTCCCTCCAAGAACAGCACCCTGATCTGGCCTGGTTGTCCTGTGGGTGATTTTTTTTTTGTATATAATTGTAATATCTCCTAACATCAATAAAAGGTCCAGTTATAAAACCAACCTGCTGCTTTCAAGTCCTCCTTTACTCACTTCCCCAAGGATCTCCTGTTCCTGCCACACTGGTGTGTGCATGTAGAGGGAATGTGGTCCCTTTTCCTCGTGAAAGGCATTTCACCCAAACCTGTCCTGTTCTCATTGTACTGGCTTGCCGTTCCCAGAGAGTGGTGACAAGCAGGAACTCTCCCAGTCTCCCGCCTAAAACCAGTGTGATTTGGGGATGTTCTCCTGACTCTGGAACTGTTGCCCTACACGTCATAGTGGAAACACATCTTCGTGATATAGCTGTGCTTCTGAAGAATGGGGCTCCACCATCAAGAAATGGCAGTGAGAATTGACCATACTCCAAGATGGGATGAGTTAATTAGTAGTGGAACAGTTTATGTCAGTGATTTACATGACTTTGGAAAGAACTCATTTTGATATTTCACATGAGTTAAATCCTCACACCCTGACAAGGACTGGAACCTGGGCCACAGTGGTGATAGCACTGAATACTAACCGTTAGTCTAACAGGCAAGCATCACACTGCTTGTTTCACTAAAGGCATTGCATGTCCTGCCATTTGAGCATTAATTCATAAACCTGCAGTTATCCTCTAACACAAGTTCCTGAATGAGAGTCTCCCATTATGTTAGCTGCTGGCTGTAAGTTATCCTGAGTACAGTCGGCTGGTTATGATGCAGTTGCTGGCACATTCATTTCACTATCAGAAGAGACTCCAGAGATTGGGGCATAAATTCTGATGCCTACAGTGCAGTACTGAGGAGTGCTACAGTCAGAGCTGCAATTTTTCCCATTAGTTAGGCCATGGTACTATTTGGAATCACTAATGCACATTATCGGGTTGTAGTGTTCATGCTGGAGGGATCTTGTTTCAGAAGATGCTGAGATCAAGTTGTAGCACTTATGGAGTTGTTTGCCTCTTATTTCCTTTTGGCCCATTGCAAAAAGCACTAAACTACAGCTGCCAAGAGAAACAGACCAACTTTGTCCCTGCTGCTGCTGAGTGCCATTTCAAATTTGAATTTAATTATTGTCACGTGTGCTCAAGTACAAAGTACAGGAATACAGTGAAATGTGTACAATGTCGCCACACACAAGGTGTGACTGAATAACATTCCCCAATCATCCAGCCTGCCTCTCTGAGCTGCAGAGCTTTCACTTTAGCCCTCGGTGAATCTAAAACAAGAGGGTAGGAAGGTAGAGTGCCTAGATAAATTAATAGTTATGGTCAGGAATATTCATGGCAACTCTAGAATGAACCATTGGGCCAAATGGCCCATTGATGTGCTTTTAATTGGACTCTGGCATTCCGTATCTTTGAAACTGCTGTTGGAAGTCCTTGTCTACCTTATCCCTGTGCTGCCAGGATAGATATTACTATTCTTGCCTTCTTCACAACATAGGGATTTTTTTTTCCACTGTCAAGGGGAGTTTTTGTTTAAATGCTATGGAGTAGATATTAGAGTCATACAATACCCATTGTGCACAGTTAGTGGGACTGATTAACGAAGCTAGACAGGGGCATACACACACACACTTTGGTCCAACTAGTCCATGCCCTATTCATGAACTTATCCAAATGTCTCAAACATTGTGACTGTCCCTGCATCTACCACTTTCTCTGGAAGTTCATTTCATAGGTGAACCACTGTCTGTGTAAACAAATTGCTCCTTAGGTTCTTTTTAAATCTTTCCCCTCTCACCTTACACCCACACCATCTAGTTTTGGACTCCCCTACCTTGGGAAAAAGACCTTGGCTATTCACCCTGTTCATGCCCCTCATGATTTTATAAAACTCATGATTTTATAAAACTCTTAAAAATGTCACCCCCTCAACTTCCTATACTCCAGTTGAAAAGGTCCCAGCCTATCCATAAAACACAAACCCTCCATTCCTGGCAACATTCTGGTAAATCCTTTTTGAGCCCTCTCCAGATTAATAATATCCTAGTGCTTGTGCAGCGTGAGAGCCACCCTCCTTTGAGTGAACAGCAACACGTTTTACTGAATATAATCATTAAGACATGGTACTAAGGCTCCTGTTCCATTTGATCTAAAGTCAGAATGACAGTTCCTTCCACAGGCTGCTCAGTAGCTATAACGCAGACTTAATGGTACAACTCCCTTTATAACTTGGGTTACACACTTATTTCAAATTCTGCCCAAGATGTGATCTTACCTTGATCTGTTTGTAGTTTGTCTGTGATCATTCTAGTGTGTTTTTAGTCTGATCAAATCATAAATATTTACACAGGATGCTGGGATGCACAGCAAGTGATCAGAACATCTAACTGATAAAAAAAATGCAAAAGCAACTCCCCTCCACCACAAGGCATGAAACTTGTAAATGTTAATATTCAGCAAGACTTGGGTGTACTAATGACAAGGAATTCCCAAGTTAGTAGGCAGCTAATCAGAAGGCAAATGCTATTTTGGCCTTCATGCTATACTCCAATTCCCTTCCATTAAAGAAGTTCTACTGAAATTCTAGGGTGTTTTGGTGATAGCACACATGAAATACTCTGCAGTTTCAGCATCCATGTTTAAGGAGGAATATACTTGCATTAGAGACAGAACAGCAAGAGTTCACTAGATTGGTTCCTGTGATGAGAACACAGTAAATAATGTCTGCAGTCCTGGGAATTTAGAATGACAGTGATTGAACTGAAACACGATCTTCAAAGGACATGACGGCTGCAGAATCTTGAAGATGGGGGTAGTCTCAGAGAAAAATGTCCTTAGAGGCATGTGAAACTTAGGAATTCTCTACCCAGAGGTTTGTGCATTGCTGAATATATTTAGAATCACAGAGATATAATGCACGGAAACAGACCCTTTGTCCATGCTGACCAGATATCCTGAATTAATCTTGTCCCATTTGCCAGCATTTGGCCCATATACTTCTAAACCCTTCCTACTGATGTACCCATCCAGATGCCTTTTAAATGTACCAGCCTCCTCTGGTAGCTTGTTCTGTAAACACAATGCCCTCTGTGTGGAAAAAGTTGCCTCTTAGTTCCCTTTTAAATCTTACCTCTCTCACCTTAAACCTATGCCCTCTAGTTTTGGACTCTGCTACCCTGGAGAGAGGACCTGGTCTATTCACCGCATCCATGCCCCTCATAATTTTATAAACCTCCATATAGGTCACCCCTCAACTTCCTATGCTCCAGGGAAAATAGCCCCAGTCTTTTCAGCCTCTCCCTCTGGCTCATACCCTCCAACCCTGGCAACATCCTTGTAAATCTTTTCTGCACTGTTTCAAGTTTCACAACATCTTTCTTATAGCAGGGAGACCAGAATTGAACGCAGTAGTGCAAAAGTGAGAAGGACAGATTTTTGGTGTGGCATGGAGTTTAAGCTTGATGGCTAAACGGTCTATTCCTTTTCCTACCTTGTATTCTTATCATTGTAACGGAAACACAGCATGAGCACACGAGAGACAAATCAAGTTTATTCAGTACTTTTGTAAAACAATGTTATTGCCGATATTACAGAGTTTGAAAGAAACATTCTTCAATTTGCTATCACAAACTTTCAGAGACAAAATAAGTCATCGAGGAAAATCTGAAATATAGTTATCCAAATACCAACTTTCCGCTAGACACTCGCAAACACAATTTTTAATAGGGCGTGTTCGAAGTTGAACAGAGATCAAGAGCAGAACATTGGAAATGCATTACCATTAGACAAAGACAGTGTTGAATCTAAGACTCAAGATTACATGAAGCAGCAGGAAGAGAAAACCAATATTCTGGTGCTCGCGAGTGTGAGGGGCACAATCCTCAAAGTCAAAGGGACTCAGGAAAGCTATAGTGTTAACAAACAGCCCCTCCCCAATCAGTGCATATTTATTTTCTTAACAGAATCGTTAAATCAGAATTTACTGACGATAAGTGCTGAGCGCTGCTTCAGTTTTGTTCTTCGTCTGCTCCAGGTGGGAGGTGTTGAAACATACTCCTCTCTACTTGAGCACACACTAAAGTTATGGATGAAATGGGAGGAACAAAACTGAGGTACAAGATTGGGATGGATAAGTCGGTTGAGCTGCTGACATCCCTGTAATTAAACTGGTTCAGAGCAACAAAAGAACCAACTCACCTCCTACTCCTGTACAACAGACTGTATCAGAGTGTGCTACAGTCAGACTGTACAAAGTTTGTGGCTGATGATCAAAGTCTGACCCAAACACTCCCAGGACAGGGACAGCATAGGGATAGATACAGAGTAAACCACTCTCTACACTGTCCCCATCAAACATTCCTGGGACAGGGACAGCACGGGCTAGACACAGAGTAAAGCTCTTCTATTCCCTTTACAGATAGACAGTAAAAGTGTAGCGGCTGCAGTGTGACAGGACAGGGGTGGGGAAACAGGATCTACTGCTCCCATTCTGAGGACAGTTTGTGGAGGACCTCCCGTGTCCAACCATAAATTACACCATTAAGATTCAGCTTTCCAGTTTTTTTGGGGGGGCGGTGGGGAGAATGGAAAGACAGAAGAGTGGAGATTAACAGAGTCGGGTCAAGGTGGGGGTGGGGGTCTATAAAAGTTTGCTTGGGAAGCAGCAAAAATCAGTTGGCTGCTTTACACCAACTTGCTTCACATTGACATCAGAGATTGGGCAAAGGTTAATAGGACCTTGTGATTTGCCCAATCTGCAGCAGAGCCCAAGACACAGTTTTACACCTGGCATTTTCAGTCTGTCCAGCCTGTAATGGAACTAGGGATCCCACACAGAGAAATCAGAGCTCAGGGAACGGGGGGGGAGAAACAGTGGAATTAAAGATCAGCAACTACATGAGAGGTCCACGAAGATCAAAGTAGGTTAAGATTCCCACTCCTCCCACACCCTTGCCTATTGTATAAAGAGACAGAATTGCCCCAGGATTTTTTAAAAAACAAAATTAAATTCACAAGAACACGAAAAGGATAGAATCAAACAGCTCTGCTAAAGCTTGTGGTTGGTTTACAGAGGGACAGACGGATAGACACA